CGATGTTGTCCAAGAACACTTCTCCATCCAGAATGCTTATCTATGTTCCTCCGAAATGGCTCCAAATTCTTTAAATTGTTGTTGAACCAGTATTGTTGAGCTTGAGTGAATTCCGCATATACACTTAACATCTCACAAGTGCCATGGAATCGATCTCCTTGAAGACTTCTTCAGCTCAAAATGGGTTCCAACAACAGATCTAGGAGCTTGTAGCCTCGACCCGCAACCTTCATCAAGAATCAGCCTTGGTGATAAATCCTCTTGAATCTTTCCTTCTACGCAGAATGAGCTCCGAAGAACTGATACCACTGTGAAGAGATCCATCTCCAAGAGGTATTTTCGACTCAACTAACCCCAATTTGTTACTAGCAATCGATATGTGAAATCGGCTTCGGTGTTACCGTATCTCTTTTATTTGCATCTGATATTCATTTCCCGTTGACTTGTCCTTTTAATCCTTAATTCCTTGGTTATGTGCTGAAACTCTTGTTTTGCATCTTCTTAATCCGTATATGTGGGATTTTTCTTTGTTCCGTCAGTAAGATTTTCCTTGCTAGTTGTGGTAGTTCCTGTGTGCTATTAAATTGAATGACATTAGTACCTGCAAAATGAACAATGTGGTTAGCTAAATAATCTGCCAGTCTGTTTCTTTCCCTGTATGTGTGAACTACCTCCACCTCTCCATTCTCCATCCATAATTTGATGCATTGTATGTCGACTGAGATTGACCATGGAACTTCCCATACTCCATCCAATACTTTTTTAATACTGAATGAATCAGTTTCCATGATTATAGGTAGCAAGTCATTCTCTATACAACACTTCAATCCTGCCTTGAATGGCTTCACTTCTGCAACTATAGCATAACATGCTTCAATAACACTAGCTTCTGCAAATATTAAGTCGCCTTCTTCATTTCGAATACAAAAAGCTGTAGAACTAGGCCCAGGATTCCCTTTACTAGTGCCATCAGTATTGCATTTATATCTTCCTACGGGAGGATGCATCCAATATACCACTCTACAACATACTAGTGGTGAGTATTCTTCCAATAATTTGACTATCGTAGGCCATGTATTAGGGAGATTTTTCAGCCATGGATATCTATTTTTGGCAAAAGGATACAGATGCTTGTTAATCTCTCTAACCATGTTATGAGTCGACATACATCCTCCATGCTTAACGATATTCCTTCTCTTCCATAACTGCCAAATAATGAAAATGGGAACAACATGTAACATTGGATTCAACTTGCTTCCACAATCAGCTTCCCACCATAATTGTATCACCTGTCTTAGTTGAACCATTGGGCCTTGAATACCTGTAGCCTATGCAAATTGTCTCCATAAACAGTATGCTATGGGGCAATGAATAAAGAGATGATCACATGTCTCCTCTGCATTGGTGTTACAGATACAACACTTAACAGAGTTGACAATTCTCATTCTCACCAGCACCTCTCCTATTGGAATTCTCATATGCCATAGTCTTCATATCAAAAATGAGATTTTAAAAGGCAACCCTTTCTCCCAAATATACATGATTTTATCAACTTCATCATTTTTCCTTCTCATTAACTCCCAAGCACTACCAACAGAGAATTTACATGTACTAGTAGGCATCCACCATGGCTTGTCTCTTTCATCAGATCTTTGTATTCTGCCCAAATTTGAAGTGATGTGATTACTAACTTCTTTAGACAAATTCTCATGTAGCAAGGTGTTATTCCATCCCTCCACAAGCATTAACTGTTGCACCTCTTCTAATTGACCATGATCATGGTTAATAGGCAAGTAGTAGTGTAATGCCCCCAACTGTGTCCAATTATCAAACCAAACACTACACTGACCATTTCTGGGTTCCCACCAAATTTCCTGGTCAATGAAATCTCTAGCCTGTAGCATAAGTTTCCATACCTGAGAGCCCCCCCTCCATTCTACAACTTGAGGTCTGTGTCTTTTGCAGTACTTGTTCCACATGAAGTTTGACCATAATGTGTTGGTTGTTCTAAAATTCCACCATAATTTAGCAAAGAGCGCCTTTGAGACATCAAATAAAGATCTAAAACCAAGCCCCCCTTCATCCTTTGGTAAACATATATCATCCCAAGCAATCCATTGTTTAGCCCTCCCTTCATCCTTGGAATTCCATAGGAATTTTGCAAAAATCCTATGTATATCATGTATAACACATTTTGGTGGACAAATAGCAGATAGCAAGTATATAGGAATGCTCTGCAGTACATGATTAATCAACACTGTTTTTCCTCCAAAAGATAACAACCTCCCCTTCCACACCTGCAATTTGCTTTGGATCTTCTTGATAAGTTCTGAGTAATGAACCTTCTTCTTCTTAGCATGCCCAATGGGACATCCAAGATAAGTCAATGGAAAGCTTCCTCTCATAAATCCAGTAGTATCCTCCACTTCATGAACTATGACATGTGCAGTCTTGTTGAACATGTAAAATAAACTCTTTCCTTTATTAATAAGTTGGCCTAATTGAGCTTCATACAACGGAGAGTTTCCATGATTAATTGCATAGATTTTTTGTCAGCAGATGTGAATATGATGGTATCATCTGCATAAGCAAGATGATTTAGTTGATCACTCCATTTGGGTAAACCAAAGCTCTTAAACTCATTGTTGTAAAACAAATGATTTAGAGTCCTAGATAATACTTCAGCTGATAATATAAAAAGTGCAGGTGATAAAGGATCTCCTTGTTTTACCCCTCTAGTGGAGTGAAAGAAGCCATGAGCCTGCCCATTAACTAGTACAGAGTACCAATTATTGGCTACCAACCTCCAAATCATATCCAACATCCTGTTATCAAAGCCCATTTTCTCCAATACACTAATCAGAAACTTCCAATCCACCCTATCATAAGCTTTAGCCATGTCTAACTTAATGACCACATTAGCAGGCTTCCCTCTTTTTCTGATCTCTGAGATTATTTCTTGTGCCAACAATACATTTTCAGTGATATTTCTCCCTTTAACAAATCCTGATTGGTTAGGAGATATCAGTTTTGGCAGTATCCCTTCCAACCTATCATGTATAAGTCTGGAAATGATTTTGTTAAGAAAATTGCTCAAACTAATTGGCCTAAAATCAGAAAAAGATTGAATAATATCTTTTTTGGGTAATAGGACCAAATTTGTATGAGTAATAGACTTAGGCAGTGAGTAACCCAAAAAGAAAGGATGAACCACTTTCACATTATACGTACCAACAATATCCCAACAAGTTTGATAAAAGTGACCTGTAAACCCATCTGGTCCACAAGCACTCTCAGCATTAAGCTCAAATACAACTTTCTTGATCTCCTCTTCCTGTGGTATTGCAATCAAGCTGCCATTTTCATCTTGTTCTATTTGAGGATGTATATATTGTAATAAGGACAACTCAGAATTAGTAGCTCCCCCGATGAACTGATCTTTAAAAAAACACACAGCCCCTTTTGCAATCTCTTTATCATCCTCAGCCCAGGAACCATCTGTTTTCATCATTTTGTTAATTTTCAGCCTCTTTCTTCTTCCCTTTACCAGACCATAAAAAAATCTGGTATTTCTATCTCTCTCCTCAAACCATTGCATCCTAGCTTTCTACCTCCAATACTCTTCTTCATAATGAATATAGAGCTTTAATTTAGCTTGAGCCTGCTGTAATACTGCTCTATTTTCTGGAGATGGACATTCTTCAAAAAACTCTTCTTTAATCCTCACAATTTCCTCCCTAATAGCCAATTGATTGAAAATGTCTCCAAATTTTTCCTTGCTCCACTTTGACAGTGCTTGCTTAGTACTTTTTTGCTTTAACTTGAGTTGTATAAATATATCCTCCACATCATCCGAAACCCAATTTTGTAGCACTACATCTCTAAAGTCATCACTTTCTGTCCAGAACTTCAGGAACTTGAAGGGTTTAACAATTTTCTGATTGCTGTTCCCACAAGTTAATAACAATGGAGCATGGTCAAACCCTGTTCTGGCTAGATGTTGTAAATTGGTGTCTCCATATAAATCAGAAAACTTTTGGTTCACCACCACTCTATCCAGCCTTTTGAAAATACATTCATCATTTATTTTGCCATTCCACAATGTAAAAGGACTCCCATAAAATTTGACATCAGAAAGATCACAAGAGTTAATACAGGTGGCAAAGTCCTCATTTTCCTGAGGATACATAGATAAGCCTCCAATCTTCTCCTCTACGCCCATTATTACATTGAAGTCTCCACCCACAATCCAAGGTAATGAAAATTATAACTAATGGAATAAAGCTCATCCCAAAGTCTTAACCTTTCATTAGCATTACATTTAGCATATACTATTGTTGTGATCACTTGATTACCATCCTCTAAAGTAAGCTGTACGGAGAGTTGTTGCTCAGTGCCTGAAATAATTCCCACCTGAATATGTTCTTTGATAAAAATCCAAATCTGGTCATTACTATTATAATTCACATAGCTCATCCCCAACCTCCTTTTGTATTTTTGAATATGTCTAGAGTCCTGAAATGGTTCCATTAGAGCAATCACTTCAAACTTATGATGTTTGTTTAACATTTGCACTTTATGAAAAGCATTTTGTGTATTCACCGATCTAATATTCCAAAAAAGAGCTTTTACAGTCATTGAGTTACTGTTTTTACCCCTCTTTTGGCCTATATCCTTGTTGGAATGCTGCTTGTGCTTTCTCCCTTACTTTTACCTTTTTTGGATTTAGGCAAAATTCTAGGAGATAGCCCTGCCCCCTTGCTTACTTTATGTATGATGTTGTTGTTGTTTTCCTCTTCTTTATCTTCTTCTCTTGTGCATTCATCTCCTTTTCCATTATTTTCTAGAGCTAAGATTTGTTTGGAATCTGCAGGGACCTTATACTGGCCTTGGTGTGACACTAGTGCATGCAACCTGTTCATTGGATGTGATTTCTGATATGTACTAACCACCCCCACCGCCATATCTTTCTGCCCGGTATCCCTCTCTATTTGCCATACTTACTCCTGTATAAAGTCAGGTGGGAATCTACCTTCATGTGCTGTAACCATTTGTAGTGGTCTCTGATCACTAATATTTGTCATATCATTCATGTAAGTAAGATCAGTATGCTCATTTTGAATTGTACATATCTGTAATTGCTTCTCCTTGTTAATCCCCTCGGTATTTTCCGTTGTAGGACTATCCACATCTTCAATTGTGTTTTGCTCAATGTTCACTTGCCCATCTGCAGGTGATTCCTCCATTTCCTTTTCAGTTTGTTGCTCCTTATCATCTGCTCATTTATCCTTGGTAGGCAGTGTTGTAGAGGAATTACATATCTCATCCGGAGTGACCATTTGCTGCTCTATTGCCCTCTGTTTGATTTCCATTTCATTTACATGGATCTTCTCAATATGTATCTCCTCAACTGCTGCATTTAGTTTACTAAACTGTTTTGTCTGATTTATGTCCTTTGTGTTTCCTATATTGCTTTGTTGCTGAACTTCTTTTTCTGTCTTGTGATCTGTTAATACATCAAAAGTATTTGCAATGTTAACACCTTCTTGCCCTCCTGCAACTGTGTTTTCACCCCCTCCAACATGAATCTTATTGCTAGGAAGTCTTTTATTAGTAGGAAGCCATCTTTTAAATTGCCTTCCAACTCTAAACACAGGCTGCTCATTCTTTTCCATGTTATCACCCTCTTCTATTTCCTTCTCTTTTTCATTGTCCTCCTTATATCTCCGCAATTCTGGATGCAAAATCCGACACTCCTGTTCCGCATGTCCTTGTAGTTTGCACTCTTTACAATACTTAGGTAACATATCATATTGTACCTTTATTCTCTCAATTCTAGATGTTGCTGCAACCTCATTGACAACTTCTAACTCAACAAAGTTAGGTAAATCACATAGCAAGTCTACTTGCACTTTGACCCTGGCACAACTAGGTCTTGTCTTGTTGATAGTAGCAGAATCTAATTGTAGAGGTTTTCCAATTGCATATGCTAATGAAAAGATGGATTCTTTAACGAAAAATGTTGGCTTCAAATCCGGAAAAGAGATCCATGCCATTGCCTGCGTAGTTTCCTCATCTACATTGAACTTAGCATCATAAATCAGCGGCCTCATTAAATATGAATATCCATCCTTAGAAAGGATATAATAGCTTGATTTTGACATAATATTAATAAAATCATCTTGTCGATTAAACCTCATTAATATATGTCTATTTCTCAATAACCCAATCTTACAATCTCCCTTAACATTGCATTGCTTTGGTATTTAAGTTCTAAGTTCCTCCAAATCAGGCCACCCATATGAGAATTTACCAACTACAACATATTGTAAATTCTCAATGGTGTTCATTCGATCAACTTCAACTTCCGTCCAAGTAACTCTGGGAATTCCATTATTATAACAGATCTCCTTAATGGGGATAGGCTCTATGGTCGTTGTAGTAGGTACTACCATATTGTTACCTTTAACAATATTGACATAACGATTTGTAGATGATGCCGCATCGTTGATTAAATCAATAGGAGCTTTGGGCATCTTAGGTTTTACAACCTCAGGAGTAGTGCAAGAAGGCTTAGATGGGTGTATAAGTGGTGGAAAATCAACAAAATTATTTGATCAGTCACAGGAGGTGGCTGACCAGTGGCCAGCCCGGCCATAACTGGTGGCAATATTCAAAAAAGACGGCAGCTAAGCAACATATGTTAAGCAGTGGTGGCGGTGATTTCCTTATAGGAATTCATGCCTAAATTTATGGATGTTTTTTTAATTCCTCACATTACTTTCTTTAATAAATAAACACATTACTTCCTTTAATAAATAATTATTTTTTATTATTTTGTGATGCAATCTAGATAAGGTAAAAGTAAAAACTTTTAGTTTTTCCATCATTATTTCTTAATTTTACAAGTGACTGATATTTAATATAATATTTATTTTTATTTTATTTCTTTTATGATACAATCTAGGTAAGGTAAAAAGAAAATACTTTTACTCTTTTTAATATTACTCCTTCCCTGGTTAGTCACGCTTTTAGAATTCTTCCTTCTCTCTTCTTCCTTCTTTTTTTCTGTTTCTCCATTGTTGTGTTTCTTCTGTTTCTCCATTATTGCATTTTATTATTCTTGCACCATTGACCGGAGTTTCTTCTTTGTTTATGTTTTAGATGGATAGGACACCGCGGAAAATCCCTAGGCTAAACAAACCAGTCGTTGATAGCCCCTCCATCATATGTTCTAGTCCTTTGTTTGAGTTGAACGCGTTCACTCAAACTCTGATAAAAAAAAGGCGGAAAAGATGATAATAAAATAGGTAAAGAAAAAAATGAATTTATTGTCATCAATTCCTCATCAACCAGCAAGATTCAGTAGAAATCTCGTTTGATTCTCAATCAAAACAAAAAGGGTAAAGAAAAGGCGAGTGAAGCTTCTATATCTGAAAACTATCAACATGATAGTGATTTTGAAGATGAAATGCAATTTCCAAAAGATTAAGATTAAATACAGATTCTAAAGCATTAGAAAAATCACGTAAAAAGGTAATTATTTAACTCTGAATTGAATCTCTTTTGATCTAAATAAACTTGGACACCCATATCGTTATGAATCTTCATTGGTGGAGATGGACCATTCACGACGTATTTGAGTTCTAAATGAAATATGATCGTATCCACACCCAATTGAAAAGATATAGTATGCATCAAGCCTTCGTATTTGGTGTTTGAATCATACATCACTACTTCGACATCGTACTCCACGTAATTAATTACCTATATAAAATTACAAATTATCAATCAACTTCATAACTTAGCAGAATGCATTTCATACATAAATTAAATTACACAGTTTATAATAGTTGTCACTTAGCTTTATATATATGTATATATGTGATATACCATGAGTTTACGGTATTTATAATACATTTCACTTATAAGTTGTGTGTGTCTAAGGCCTTTTTGCATGGGTTTTTATGTGTTTTATTGTATTTTTGCAGGAAAGATGTTCAGGCGTAGAGAAAAATGCAGAAAAAGGGCATTCACGAAGGTGATCTACGGACCGTAGGTCCATTGATGGTCCGTAGGTGATGACCGTAGATCAGCAAGCAAGGTATGGATGACAAATCAGGGAAATCTGACAAAGTGTGGAACCACGGTGGCCATTGACGGTCCGTAGATTGATCTACGGACCGTACTGATCGATCCGTAGAATGAGACTGCGAGGGTTCCAGTACTTGATTTTTGAAGATTCTAAGTGCGGAGCTACGGAGGGGATTGACGAACCGTAGATCGATCTACGGTTCGTACTGCAAGTCCGTCGTTTGCTTCAGAGAAGCTGATTTTTGGAAGCTAAAATATTTTCTAAGTCTTGGCTGACGGAAGGGACATACGGACCGTAGATCCATCGACGGTCCGTAAGTCAGTCTCGTGGAACGAAGACGCGTGCCTGAACAAACTTTCCTTAAATTGTTTCCCTTTTAATTTAGGATTTGTTTTCTATAAATAGGGCATGTAAACCTCGTTTTTTGGGGGTTAGACATTATTATTCTAGTTTTGCCTTGTGACTTTGGAGATTAATTTGCAACTCTAGCAATTATTGATTTTCGAAGTTCGTGTTGAAGATCTTGGCTTTGCAATTCAAGTTAAATTTCTGGGTTTATTATTCTCTTTACGTAAGCTCATGATTTCTTCATCTAAAATTATGAATTGTGTTCTTGCCAATATGGGTAACTAAATCCACAACTAGGGTTGTGGGAACCATGAGCGATTAACAAAGTATGAATAGTAAATAAGCAATTCGTGAATAGTGTTTTGCATGCCTTGATAATTCTTTTGTTTAGAAGTCTTTTTAACGAGTGCACGCGTTAGAACTCGCCTTGTTGCTACTTGCCGGACCAAGGAGGTAATCAACAAGAAAAGAATTATCAACATAGATTTAGTGTGATACTATCTAATAGGCTAGTGTCGATTGGTGCGAAGTAATAACTAAGCCAAACATCGATTATGATGTCTAATATGAGGTAAAGGTAAGGGTTAGTAAATTATACACACGTAGCCGGACCAAGGTGCGGGGTGAAATTCTCTAGATGCCGGACCAAGGATTTAGAGATACCTAACTTATCACTTTGCATGTAATACACTAGAAAAGGATTGTTGTTACTAGGATTACTGTGTTATGAGCTTGTGGGGAACACGTATACCCTGGTTATTTCTCTTATCTTGATAACAACCAAAGTCGAGTTTTGATTACTGATTACTTATTAAGTTCTTACTATTTGTTTCACACAAACACAACCCCCTTTTTATTACCTGTTTCTGGAAGTAATTTAACTAATTGAATATAATTGTTGGTTAAAGTAAAGTCTAAACCATTTTCCTTGTGGGATCGACCCCAACCTACAAGTTGGGTTCTTTACTTGATAACGATCACTTATACTTCTGAAGGGAGGTGTAATTTGAGCGTATCAATATGTTGGTATTAATTATTAGTGGTTAGTATGAGAATCAATGGTATACATACGAGTGTTGTTTTTAAGTAGTTGTCAGATCAACATTTTCACCAGAAACAAAACTACATAATACCTTTGAGATTGCTTATGGTGTTTATAAAATCATAATTCACACTATCAATTTCACCACACAAATTAGCCAACTCAATATTTATTTAAACATGTTATATATACCAAATCAGGCAAATTAATACATTACAAACACATTGTCACCAAATCACGTACCACAATTGGTAACTATCACTTACCAAATGACTAACCAAATCATATACCAAAACATAATTTATACTATCAACTATACTAAAATATGCAACTCAATATTTCTTTAAACATGTTATATACACCAATTCAGACAAATTAATACACCAATTTGATGTACGAAAATATTTACAACAACACTTATCAAATCAAACACCAAAAAAGTTGATATGAAATTTGGTTTTTATAAAAAATATAATACACAAGATCAACTAAACGAAATCATCTACACCATCTTTAAGCATTATAACCAACACGTAATTCTTTAATTTTGTTAGCTATAATATGTACATAAATATTAATTTTTAACTTGATTTTTATACAGGGTCAAAAAATTACTAATTACACCAAAGCACATACCATAAGTATTTGAGAATTAAGATATAAAATTCGTTATCATACCAATCAGACAAACAAATTCACCAACACACATACCAAATATTGATTGAACTTGATATATTATATAAGGCCTTAAAAAATATCAATAACAAAATATCACACACAAAAATAAATTATTTATTTATGTTCTTTATATGAGGCATGTACCATACCTATTACATCTGATCACATATTAAAAGATTTTTTCAAATTAGATACACCAATACACGTATCAGAATTTTAACTTGAAGGTGATCTTTGTATAACGTATAAATATTAACAATAACACCATATTGATTTTTGCTGGTAATATAACATATGCAACATACCAATTAAACTGTTTTGATGGCAGCATGCTTACTTAAGTTGTATTGTTTTATACGCACATTAACCAAAAGTTTATTTTCTATACCACCAAAAACCTAATAATATAACAAAACCCTAATATTATACCAAAAACTATTACCAATATATAATGCTTATTCAACAATAAAATCCATCCAATCGATGCACCATGCTATTAACGAAATCATATAAATTTTATATTACACCACAACAACGTACAATATAAACAATTGGCTAATTATCAAAAACATTAAACACAGATGGTGAGAAAAATCAAATATATAAACAACGTAGAAAACACCAATTCAATTGTTTTTATTCACATACCTGATGAGTCCCATCCCCCGTTGTGTTGTATTAGAATTGAAAAATTGTTGGTATCCATTTTCAATAGTTGATCAGAGTAGTCAGGGAGTTTTATTTTTGTTAGAAACCTCTCTTCATGGAAGAGAATATTTAACAAATATGAGTAAATCAGGGAAGGTAAATTAATTGGAGAAAATTAAGGGATATGTAATAATGTGGGTTCTACGTTTCTTTTTTTCTTTTTTAAATATTCTAATTTTACGTTTTTAAAAAAAAAATAAAAATAAAAAAATTATAATTTTGTAAAAAAACTTATAAGTTAA